TCATGTAAATATATGGTTCATAGATTATATTATATGTTAACACAAAACATAGTATATAATCTATTGTTTGGGGATGCATTTCTAAATGATTCAAAGGTTTTAATGCATTTGGTTGTAAGAGAGCTTCCCTGAAAAGTTTGGCTCTTGATCGAGTGATTGGTCCTTGTGGCATTACTTTCAAATCCTTTGAAGATGGCGTTGGTGTGCTCATATCATTCTATCTCTCTTTCGAAATGGTAACTCACTCCTAACCGTTTGATTGTATCAATCAAACGAAGTTTGTGCAGTAACTCGTCATTCACGTCTACCTTAATCATCCTCCTTACTTCTTTCAATTCTTCGTGTTGTAGTTTAGTTGCACCATCAATGTTCTGCACAATTGTATACAGTATTAGAAATGGTTAGAAAACAACTTTTGAATTATAAAAACATATTTACTGGTTTAGACGTGCAAACACATATATACTCCCCCAAACGCTAGGGGGAAAGTTGGCTAAGGGACGACTGTGGTTGGAAAAGAATCCATGAGATGAAGATGGAAGCTTCGACGAAGACATTTCTTTAGCAATTACTTATTTTGGAAACACTACGAAATAAGATGAATTGGTGTGAGCCAAACTACTCATGTGTTGTAGTACTTATAAGGCCTTGCCAAGAGTGGCTATTTTATTTTAGAGAAAATAACTTCAGTGATCGAAAATGTCTTATAATATACGATTTTAACCATTTTTTTTTGGATTTACGAAAATGACCAACAAATTCGCAACGCGAACTCTAATTTCGCAACACAGGTTCCAAAATCGCAACGCGAATATATAAATCGCAACGTGAATATGAAAATCGCATATCTTTATTTATAAGATATATTATAAGATATACCACCAACTACTACTCATCTAGGACCTTTAAACAATAATCATGTGTTAAAAAGAGTATTGCTCTATCTTGAGGTATTGGGTTCTAACTCATATGTTTATAGGTACGTGCATTATCAAATATTAAGAAAAATTATTAACATATATTATTTCCTAATCATCTCGTACTATTAGAAAAAATAAAGTAATAAAAATATTCGTTTAGCTTAATAGTTGCATATAAAAAAGACAGCTATCGACAATATTGGAGTGATTGATATTGTGTTAATTTGCATGGAATCTTTTCAGTGGCAACTTAGTGTGCTCGAACCACACTGTGAAACACACACCACAAGTTGCAGACCTGGTGGCGGCTAGGAATTTGGGTGGCTCCTTCTCGTCCGTTGGTTTGTGTTTATTGCCGGTTAATGTTTGTCTAGTTGTCATACTGGCAATCTTCTCTCTCAGTTATCCTGCTACTGCCGCTCTGCTTTTAAACTTGTTAGAAAGCTGCCTTTCTACATTGTCAAAACCACAAACAAATACCCTCTCCAACTTAATTAAACTAATTAAATCGTTATGGAAATGACTAGATTACCGAGGAAATGTCGCCTATCAAATGCTGTATAGTTTCACGACCGGATTAATCTAAAGGTGCGTTTGTTTCACGACTGGAATAATCTAAAGGTGCGTTTAATTCACGGAATGTAAGATTATCAGTGGGAATAGGATTATCGGCGAAAATAAGATTACTGAGAATGTTGTATTTTGTGTTTGATTTGTTTAGTGGGAATGTAAGATTACAGTGTTTGGTTAAATGAATAAAAGATTATTGAAATATATATTTTACCAAATTGTCCTTGTTATATATTTGTTTTTTAACAAGTTGAATTCTACTATAATATTACTTTAATTAATTTATATATTTTCTTTAAAAATTTTAAATTCATAAAATTTATATAATTTTTTTTTACAAAATTAAAAAGATAAATAGGTTTAATGAAAGGGTAAAAATTTCATTTTAATCCCTGAATTTCATATAAATTTTTTAATTATGGACTTTTTTTGTAAATCTAAAATAGTTTAAGGATAAATTTGTAATTTAATTTTCGTAGATTTTTTATTATTCAACGACAGAAGAATGATATTTTAAAAAAAAATTTAAAGGCATTTTAGTCCAAAACACCGATAATCCAACAATACCTAAACGATGGGATAATCACATTTCCGGTAATATACCTAAAAAATATCACTATTAGAAATAAAAATTACCGGAAAATAGGAGAAGAAGAAGGAGAATAAAGAGAATACTAGCCTTTTTAACTTTTTCCCCTTTTCTCTCTTAAATTCCCTAATAAAAAATGAATTTTAAATCTATAAGCCTCTAAAGGACTAAAATGTCCCTTTCATTTTTCTATTCTTACTAATTGGTATTAATTAAATCGTTTCTTATATTTTACCATTTAATCAATTTAATCCTCTAAAATTTTAAATCCTTTCAATATAGTCACCGACCTAATATTTGGGGTATTATTGGAGTGATTGATATTGTGTTAATTTGCATGGAATCTTTTCAGTGGCAACTTGGTATGCTCGAACAACACTGTGAAACACACACCACAAGTAGCAGACCTGGTGGCAGCTAGGAATTTGGGTGGCTCCTTCTCGTCCGTTGGTTTGTGTTTATTGCCGGTTAATGTTTGTCTAGTTGTCATAATGGCAATCTTCTCTCTCAGCTATCTTGCTACTGCCGCTCTGCTTTTAAACTTATTAGAAAGCTGCCTTTCTACATTGTCAAAACCACACACTAATACCCTCTCCAACTTAATTAAACTAATTAAATCGTTATGGGAATGACTATATTACCGAGGAAATGTCGCTTATCAAATGTCGTATAGTTTCACGACCGGATTAATCTAAACACAAATCATTAAGGGTAAGATTGACGTGTTTGAAAAACATCATTTTCAAAAATGTCGCACGACATAACGACCAAACTGAGAAGTTATATATGTCAAATTATACTCATAACTTATCTGGATAGTTAAATGCTTAACGGCATTATAATCAAACATTTTTATTTCTTGACGATGAAATGTCGCTTTTCAAATTTTAACGGTGAGGAGGTGGAGAAATAGAAAACTAACTATATATCTTGACTCCACAATAATCGGATGATAAATATTATAGATCATAGTGATTTTGAGATTTGATGAGTTCTTAGTTTAGAGTTGAGTTTTAAAGTGATTTAGTAAAAATTTCAATTGATAGAGGATAGGAGACAATGAGACGAAATTGTTGATATCTTCAATGGTCGAAGAAAATGTCAAGGAATGATAATTATTGCATCGACGTGACAAATAGATAAGAAATTGTAAAACTTTCATCTATGAAGAAAGAAGATAAATTTAAAAAAAGAAATAATAAAAAGAGAAAACAACATGCATGATACATAAATTGTATATCAATAAACCAACATCATCACATGTGGTTGTCACGTCACCCTTTTATTTTTTAATTTAACACCTGAGTGATTAAAATAAGAGTAATTCAAAAGTTTCGTAAATAAATTAAAAAAAATTTAAACTGTAGCGATCAAAATAAGAATAAAAATAAAATCAAGTGATGAAATTTATCACTTGCCCATAATTACAGTGTAATGAAGGATTTGATTCCTTTTATATGAATTTAATTTTAATTCCAGATTTCAATAAATATTGATATTGCGACTAGGATAGATTTTAGGACTAGCTGGGTAGGAGAAACCTGCTGTGTCCTCCTTCCAAGACAAATCAATGCCCTTATTGGGAAATGGGGTGAACGTGAAACCCATAGAGATTCATAGAGATATTTTAATGTTAGCACTAAATACCAACAAAAAGATTTGCTCATTGGACAGGATAATTTTAATATTGGGTAGCGGAAATTCAAATTAAATAATATAAAAAGTATTTTAATTAAATATAATTTATTAGTGTAAAATGCAATAAAAGTTGGGAGTGTACAGAAAAATATAGAGAGCTGGTTTAGGCGGAGCTGAACTCAACGTGGATATAAGATGATCCCTAAAGAGATTCATACAAGATGATAAGGTACTAAATTATACTCGACACTCACCCGAACAACCACGAGAGTGCAACCGGGACAATCGAGACTCGCCCACTATCCCGCAAGCTGAAAAAATACACCATGCTGACCCCTATTGAGAAATTCCACAAGGTTGCAGTCTGTAGTCTGCTTCAAGAGGTTGCGTGGTGGTTGGTTCGGTTATTCTGTTCAAGGGTTATGGTTGTTATGCGGTTTAGCCCAACGAGTCTTTGTTGGGTCAAACTCTTTTTGTGTTGATCCGCTAGACTCGGTTGGGGCAATATAAAGTGCCTTAATGGTTAAGGGCCATAATATTCTTTCGGCCTACATTTTTTTTGCTTTTGTTGTTTTCGATAGTCTGATGGTCAAGATTTGAAGAATGTGCAGAATTGCAGATTATTACTCTTTATTATTGCATAGTCCTTCAAAGCGAACTCCTCACTCTTTTATTATAAGCATGGTGATGTGGTAATTTATCGTATTAATAAAAATTCTTATTTTTTGCTCGTGATTTTTTTTCTACAAAAGTTTTTGGCATAAATTTTTGGTGTTTCTTTGTACAATCATTATGTATCTTTTAACAAATCATATGTCGAAATTGATGATAATTGAATAAAGAGATTTTGAAGTTAAAGGTGTTAGTAGAAATTTAACCGTTATGGTACTTCTCAATGGATATACCAAGGATAAAGTTGTTAGGTTGATTACTGTGGATAGTGGCAAACATGTTACTTTGAATGGGAGTGAGGTTAAGAACTCATTAGAAATTAAATTATTTTTTGTCATATAAGATGTTTGGTTGTGTTGCAAAAAGGTAGAATGAGTTCAGGTTTTCTAATCATTGCAGTAAAAAATTGTAGCATGGAATCATATGGCTAATGAAGTTGAAAAATAGATTTTACAAGTTATTCTAAAAATAATTTTACAAGTTATTCTAATGAAGTGAATATAGGGTTGCTTTTGTTGATCGTAATTTACAATAAAGGGAAACTGCTATAAGATACTAAAAACAACATAATCATGAAATGGATTATCCTAACAGATATATCATTAATGTCTTCAAGCTGAGATAGAGATTGGATCAATTAGCAATAAAGTGATCCCATCCTTTGTAGTTTCTTCAACATGAGTGTACCCATCTCCAGCCTTATACATGAACTCAACGCCCCTTATAAGATTGAGAACTCGTGTAAGAACCGACATTGGGACAACCTTTGATGTCTCACCAAACATCATCTCGTGGTTTATATCTTTCCATACATTATCCACTTGCTTCTTCAATTCACTGCATGCTTCTTCTTCTGATATTCCGTGTTCTCTCATGTAGCATTCAACAGCCGACGCACAGTGCCCTCTCTCCTGCTCAAACTATACACACATATATACAAGTTAATTGAAAATACTCTTACTATTTGTTTATTTTATTGAAAAAGGTACCTTGTGTGTGACAATATCGTCAAAGAGGCGAGCATGAACGGCGCAAGCAACAATAATTTTAGGATCATTAGATGACCAATTGAAAATCTCAGGTGTCAGCAAACTTCCCATTCCAACTAGAGATGTGACATTTATTGCAGTAGTAGCAGCAGATATAACTCCTACCCTCATATATTCTTCCATCGTTGGTACATAGTTTTCATTGTACCATTTCACCTCCGCAAAATAACTTTCACTCAATTGCTTAAACTATAAATTGAAAACCAACAAAATAAGAAACTTGGTCACGTATATTTAATTGGTACTTGAATTTGACAATCAATACATATATTAATACAGAAATTGAATTCCATTAATAAAATTAATGTGTCACGCATCAATCAATATATGTCACATGCTTTAAAATGTACCTTTGAACCTAATTTTAAATCCTTTGTTGGTATTTGAATTTTTTTCTTAGACCTATTTGGTGCCTTGTATAATTACTTAGTTTAAGTCTGGTCCACAAATACTTCTTATTGTATGCATTACATACTCATATTTGACATTTTTTAAGATAATATACAAGAAGAAATAGTTGTTAACTTTAGTAATGTAAAATCACAAAAATGAGATGGGTGTAAATTTACTTGGTTTATAGAATATTGGACACAATATGATTGTCCTTGCCTTCCCATCGCCTCCTCAACTTCTTTATAGAGATCTAATAATGGCTTGTAGAATAGTTTCATGTAATCTGGAAGTTGATTTACACAATCATCATCCCACCTAAAAGTCAAATAAAATTTTAAAATATAAGACAAAATGTTGTAAATGCTAAAATTTAAATTCTAATATTCATGTATAAACATATAAGCTGCTGACCTTTGAATTGCATCTGTAAGGAGTTGAAGTTCTTCAAATTTGCCATATGAATCGTATATATCATCCATAATTGATATCATAGTTACTACTTTTGTTAATATTTCTCTGGCAAAAGAGTACTTAGGCTCAAAGTACATTCCCAACATCCAAAAGTATAATTCCACCAATCTATCTCGTGCAAACGGTAGTTTTGTAGCAAAATCTAAATCTTTCCACCACCTGAAACAAAACACAGAATCATTAATTAGTTTTCCCTTTAAATTAGGTTAAAATCGAATATTAATTAGTGTTAGAGTAGTATGTTGCCTAGAGAGCTTGCATAGATCTTCCTTGTGTGAAATTTGTAACAAGTTGAAATCCAACACTGCAAACTTCAACAATGTTTTGTCGTGTGAAGCATCTTCTTGATAAATGGCTATGAGTCGCCTAGCCTCCAACCTTGGAAGGGTCTTGCGGATGGGTTGGTATAGAGCATTGGAGACTAAGGTTGAAAGAGGATACTCCAAATTGCCAGCAGCTTTGGCTAACTCTAGATGAGTAGTGGTGAACGCAAGGGCTTCTTCGAGTATGACTTCCCCATGAACAAGTAAATGTGCAGCTTCGTATAGTTCAAGCAAACCTTTCACATCACTTGTTAAGGACTTGCTAAAGTTCCCTTCATCATCTTTGAACTTGCTGAACGTTTCTGTTCAATCCAATAAAAAATTATTCATAAGGATCGTAAAGGGTGTATGTGTAAAGTAGAAGGTGCAAGACTCACCGCAGGGAGCATTAAATCCGCTCTCTCTAAGCAATCGAAATCGAAGAGAAGTAGCCTCGAGAGATTGGTCATAGTTGTAGTGATGCTCATACACATTGTGCAATGCTTCCTCTATCTCTCTTTCGAAATGGTAACTCACTCCTAGCCGTTTGATTGTATCAATCAAACGTAATTTGTGCAGTAAATCATCATGGACGTCCACCTTAATCAGCCTCCTTACTTCTTCTTTCAATTCTTCGTGCTGTAGTTGAGTTGCACCATCAACGTTCTGCACAATTGCAGACAGTATTAGGGGAGCGAATTATTAGAACACTCTTAGAGGTGCAGACGCACATACACACGTATATAGTATCTAAATTCTTTACCATTTTAGATGGACATAAGAAAATATCCCCCCAAACCTTAGGAGGAAAGTTGGCTAAGGGACGATCCCGGATGGAGATGGATCCATGAGTTGAAGAAGGAAGCTTTGAAGAAGACATTTCTTTAGCTATTAATTATGTTGGAAACAATACGAAATGGGATAAATTGCTGTGAGCCAAACAACTGATGTGTTATAGTACTTATAGGGCCTTACCATATATACGTGGAAGAGGCTATTTTATTTTGTTCTTTTTTGGTGGGCGATGAACAATCATAAATCTTTATAAAATATATTATAAGGTATACCACCAAGTACTATCACCCATTTTTAGATTTTGATGGCTCTCTGATTAACCAAAAACTTAGGTAACTAATCAGTAATTTAAGTTATAGTTTACATGTGTGTCTTTGGTTGCGTTGTGTTTATCATTATTGCGAATATAACTGATGATATTACAGTTACTGCAAGTATCGTGGTTATGAAATTTTAATAACATATGCTATTGTAGGCATAACAGTTGTGGATACTACGTCTTGGACGATGTCGTTACCACTACATAACGGTCGTTGTTTTGGTTACATACTGTTATTTAAGTAATTATTCATAATATCAAGTGTTGAAAATAAATAAATTTTAAAGATAACTCTATAATAACAAGTATTGGAAAAAATTGGATCCCTAATAACAAATATTAAAGAAAAAATAAATTTTAAGAGTATGATCATAATAACAAATATTAAAAATATGGATCTCTAATAAAAAGTAATGAAAAAATTGGACTCACAATAACAAACAAATATTAGAAAATAAATTAAATTTTAAAGTATTCCCCTAATAAAAAATATTGAAAAATATTAGTTCGTCGATAATAAATATCGAAAAAATTGGACCCTTAATAACAAATGTTAGAAAAAAAATATTGGAAAAAAAGTAGACACTTGTACAAATATTAGAAAAAATAAATTTTAAGAATAGGTCCCTAATAATTAATATTAGAAAAATTAACTCACAATAATAAATATTAGAGAGAAATTAAATTCTTAATGACAAGTGTTAAAAATAATTGAGCCTTGTAACTGATATAAACTATTTTTTATAAGTATAATACATTATTGGAGTGATTGATATTGTGTTAATTTGCAGTGAATCTTTTCAGTGGGTTAGTGTTGCGGAAGACGGCTATCGGATAGAGCAAAAACGCAACTGGTAATTTGAGAAAATAAAAATTGAAGATAAAAGAGACACAAAATTTACGTGGAAAACCCCTAAATAATATAGGGTAAAAACCATGAGCAACGGTAGAAGAATTTCACTATGAGAAAATAGGAATTACAACTTCTCTCGATCTACCAAGGAGAAAACAATGATAATTTTCTCTTGATAAAAAGGAGAAAACAACTCTCAAGAAACTCTATAAATTCACTATAGTATTGGAAGAAAACTAGAATGCTTTGGGATGCTTTTGAAGCTAAATGAGCTAGGGTATTTATAGTTGAAGCTTTAAGGACTAAATTTGTAAATATCATAAATTTGAATGACTAATTGCATAGTTTTACCTGCACCATTTTTCAACAATTTCTGCATCTACCATTCGGTGCCTACTATTATTGACTTCATTTATTTTTCCATGCACTTTCGATGCATGTGCATGGTTTTTCAATAATCTCCCACTTGAAGATTTGATTGGAACAATCATATCTTCACACCATTCTTTCTACCTTGTATCTTTATGTTGCTTACGTCTCTGACAAGCCATAAGAGGATCGACACCAAGTAAATTTATCGGTATTGATTGCCTTCGTCATGAAATATGCTATATTGTCTTTGGTATGAATCTTCTGCATATCAACCGTCCCTTCTTCCACCTTTTCACGAATGAAATGGTATTGAACTCGTATGTGCTTTGTCCTTGAATGAAATGTTGGATTCCTTGCTAGATGCAAGGTGCTTTGATTGTCACAAAACAGAGAGATACTCTTGATTGTGCCCAAGCTCCTCCAATAGCATCTTCAACCAAATTGCTTTTTACTGGCTTGTGTAGTTGCTACATATTCTGCTTCTGTTGTGGATGTAGCCACAACTGACTGCAATTTTGAAACCCAGCTTACAGCTCCACCAACAACTTTGAACACATATCCTGTAGTAGATTTGCTTTTATCCAAATCCCCTGCATAGTCAGAATCTACATACCCATTGATTAGTAAGTTTGATCATCCGTAACATAATGCAACATTTGAGGTCCCTTTGATGTATCTCAAAATCATCTTTACTGTATTCCAATGCTCTTTTCCTAGATTTGCCATGTACCGACTAACCACTCCCACTGCTTGTGCAATGTTTGGTCTTATGCATATCATAGCGAACATTAAACTTCCCATTGCTGATGCATACGGTACCGAGACATCTCCATCCTCTCTTCTTCCTGCTAGGACTCATACTGGAAGATAATTTGAAGTTAATAGGAAAAGGGGTAGAAATTGGCTTACAATCTTGCATGTTGAATCGTGACAAGATCTTTTTCAAGTAATTCTTTTGTGAAAGCCAAATCTTCCTATTACTTCTGTCTCGGTGAATTTACATCCCTAGAATCTTGTTTGCTGATCCCAAGTCCTTCATTTCAAATTCCCTAGCCAGTGCCTTCAATTCTTCAATATGATCTTTGTTGGGTCCTGCAACCAACATGTCATCCACATACAACAACAATATAACAAAATCGTTATCACCAGACCTCTTGAAATAAGCACAAGGGTCTGCATTAAGTCTGTTGTATCCAAGGCACATAATGAAGGAATCAAATCTCTTATACCAACACCTCGGCGCCTGCTTTAGACCGTACAGAGATTTGTTCAACTGCAAACCAAGTTCTTCTTTTCTTTTTCTTCAAAACCTTCAGGCTGGAGCATGTAAATCTCTTCTTCAAGATTTCCATGAACAAAAGCTATTTTAACATCTAGATGCTCTAGATGTAAGTTCAATGTAGCACACATTGCCAAGATTACTCGAACTGTTGTTAGCCAAACCACAGTAGAAAAAATTTCATTAAAATCAATACCTTCTTTTTGAGCATATCCTTTGACCACCAGTCTTGCACGATACCTCTCCACTTGATCTTCACCATTTCGCTTGATTTTAAAGACCCATTTGTTACCAATTGTCTTCCTTCCTTGTGGTAGTGGCACAAGGTCCATGTATTATTTTTATGAAGGACTTCGATTTCTTCTTGCATCGCCATCATCCACAGTGAAGCATCTGAGTTGTTTATTGCCTCCTGGTATGTTGATGGCTCACCGTCCTCTGTTAAAAGGCAGTATGCAACATTTCTTCTATAACATAATCTGAGTGCCAATTAGGACGTCTTCTCACATGATCTGATTGACGAGTTGTTGGAGCTTCAGAACTCTTTGGTTCTTGTTCATCATGTGCTGGTTCTACTTCAGAAGAATCTCCTTGTTCAACCTCTTTTTCCACATGTATTTGTGTAGTCTCTGACTTTTTAGCACTATCATCGTCTTCTTTTCTTTGTAGCTTATCTTCTACAAAGATAACATCCCTACTGATGACTACTTTGTGGGCAGTGGGATCCCACACCCTTGACTCCATCAGCATACCCCAAGAATTTGCATTTCCTGGATTTTGGATCCAGCTTTGAGATTTCTTGGGAGTTGTACATCACGTACACAATACTTCCAAATATATGGAGGTTTGAATAATCAACTGGTTTACCAGTCCACATCTCCATTAGTGTCTTCAGCTCTATTGCAGTTGATGGAGCTCGATTCACCAAATACATGTGGTATTGACTGCTTCTGCCCAAAATGATTTTTCTAGGCCTGCATCCCTTAACATTGCTCTTGTTCTTTCTAACAAGGTTCTGTTCATCCGCTCTGCCACTCCATTTTGTTGAGGAGTGTTTGCCACTGTGAACTATCTTTTGATGCATTTTTTCCTGTAAAAGTCATCAAATTCTTCGTTTGTGTATTCTCCTCCATTATCTGTTCTGAAACACTTGATTTTATTTCTAGAATCAAGTTCCACCCGCAGCTTGAAGTTTTTGAAAGTTGAAAACACGTCTGGCTTCTTCTTAATATGGTACACCCAACATCTCCTGGAGTAGTCATCAATAAATGAGACAAAGTATTTTTCTCCACCTAGGGATGTAACTGGTGCTTGCCATACGTTAGAGTGAACCAATTCTAGAATATTTTTGCCTCTAGAATTTGATTTGTTTAATTTCAACCGGTGCTGCTTACTTGTTTTGCAATGGTCACACAAAGGAAGTGTTACATTTGTTAAGCCTGGAAGTAGGTTTTGCTCCACAAGGACTTTCATTCCTTGTTCTGACATGTGTCCAAGTTTCTGATGCCATAGCATTGCAGAATCTGAACTACATGAGGCAACAGAGGCTTATGCTTCTACCAAAGTCTCTCCCTTCAGCATATAAAAGTTTGCTGCTATCTTTTCGCCTTTAAGCACCACAAGCGCTCCACAGAACACTTTCATGATTCCATTATGTGTTTCAATCTTGCTTGCATTATTATCCAACAATCCGTAGGATAATAAATTTTTCTTCAGGCCTTTCATGTGCCGCACATCTCGAACAACTTTAATTGTTCCATCATACATATTTAATTTGATGGAACCATTCTCTTCTTGAGGTCATATGATATGTTTCTCCCGAATCAATGAGCCATATATCTGCATATCTCTTTCTGCCTTCCACGGTGGTTGATGCTTCACAACATAGAGCATCTCCATCATCTAAAGTGTTTGCGGTATTGCCTTGTGGATTGGAGTTTTTATTTAGACTCCAACAATCATTCTTCAAGTGACCATTCTTTCCACAGTTTTAACACTTTAAATTCTTCTTGCTCCTTGACTTCGATCTACCATGTTTGTGACTGCTGCTTTGGCCTCGTTCTGTTGATCTCCCTCTCATCGTTGTCAACGCTTTTGCTTGTTGCAGATTTACTTGTCTGTCTTCCTTGTTCTTGCGTCGATTTTCTTCTTGGAGAACAGCAGCTGCAACGTCATCGAAGACTAGACTTGTGACATTATTGTTTGTCAAGTTGATGATGAGTTGATCATACGAATCAGGTATACTTTGAAGTAGAAGTTCAACACGTTCTTCTTCTCCTATTGTACATCTTAAGGATGTAAGCTGAGAAAAT